TTCACTTATTTAATATTATATTATACTTATTTAATATTATATCATAATAATAAATTTATAATTCTATGTGATGTTATAATTATAAGATTATATACTAAAAACACCCACCATTATTATAAAGCCATAAAGTATTTACATGAAGCGGAGCAGATTGTCACCTTGGCTAAAGTATATCTTTAACTCCTCACCTTGCACTATAAAGTTTTAGTTTCTAAACTTAAACATACAAAGATTTTAACCTTTAGACTAATGGAATTATTAACTCTCCATTAACGTGTTATAGTGAAAATAAAATATTTACAATATCAGTCTTTAAAGATTAAAATATAACAATTTAGTCCCCAAAGTTTACAAATAATTAGTGGATGTCTTTGTCACATATAGGAGAATAATATTGGATATCTACAATAAATCAAGTGATTAAGTCAATTTGAAGAAGAAATTCTAACTAAAATTAAAGAATTTTTTAGCTAAATTAAGACAAAAAATTTAAGAGATTAGAAGAATACAACTAAGAAATTTTTCTTTAATCTCAATCAGATTTTGTTTTTTAGATGAAGTTAATCACTTGATTTGATTATAGATATCTAATACTATTCTCATGTATATGACAAAAACATCCACTAATTATTTTTAATTTACTTTTTTTTAAAAAAAATTTTAAACTTGGGACTAAATTGTTAGATTTTTAATTTTTAAGAATTAATTTTGTAAATATTTTATTCTCACTTTAATGAAAAGTTAACGGATTTTGTTATTTTAAGCACTAAAATCTTTAAACTTTCAAGTTCATGGGCTAAAAACTTTATAATATAAGATGATGGGTTAAAATATTCAAATCGATTAAGGAGAGAAGCTAAAAATATACTTTAACCATATCTTAGGGGGAAAAATCATGCTGGACTACCTAACCTTTTCTTTTAAATAAATAATTTTTTTAATATGTGTTCTAAGACTATATATTAAGAATGTATTAATTGTAATTTTTAATTAATTTTAATAAAAAAAATATAAAAGTAAATACTTAATATGTTTATTTTTACAATTTTTATTTGACTTTTTAACTTTTTAGATATGAATTTTTAATAAAAATTCAACAATTTATATAAATAACAATTAACTTTTTTTTTCCTATATGTAATACTGTTGAATATTTTTACCTTGATAAAAAATTTTAATTAATTTTATATAATATATTAAGTTTTTATCTAAAATTTATATTT